AATTCTGTTGCGGAATTCGTGGGGCCACTTTGTAACATTTGCTTTTATTTGACCAACGAATGATTGGAGGCAATGAATCTCCAGGAAGACTCGTTCGGGAGAAGATCTGTGTCCATGTTTTGTAACTAAGATGCAGATTAGAGTTTTGCTTCCTTGTTCAATGGACTGTAACCGGTCAGTTGGCATTTCCGAATAAGTAACTCCGCAGCGAAGGCCTTCTTCCTTTCACTAATATACTTTTGACTGTGCAAATTTCCGCCCATGTTGGCGGTAAACACAGCCTGGCCATACTTGCTATTAGGACCGCACAAAATTAACAGGCACGGGTGGTCGAATCTCCATCCTAGAATGATTTTCACTCTCCTCTTCTCTTAGTACATGACATCCTCATTTCTGATTCTGTTTTCCAGTGCAAGCATGCCGACGGCAGCAGGATTGGCCGGGACAAATGCGAGGCCAGAGTACACCCATAGTCGCAAATTGTACTGATGGAAGTGTCAGCTAACCAGGGGAAGATTGTGCTTCCTTCAGTGCTTCAAAATATCAGGGAGTTTCCTCCTCCACCTTCAGTCGGTAATAACCGTCTCAGTTGATCCAGATCACTTACCCTTTTCGAGACATTTCTGCGATGAAACATCCAGGAGTGACACTGTCGAGCACACTGCTCTCATCAGACAGGTCAGACTCCTCAAAGTAACCCCAGGACGCCCGGGGCATAACTGATACCCTAAAACTCCACCAAAGTTACAATAGGAAAGCCGACAAGCATCCAGGCTAGTCAATCATTCAAGCAATTCAGCAAAAGCCGATGAGTGTTCAGGCACGCCACAGAAGCACGAGCGAGTATGATCAGCGTTCAGGCATTGCATAGAATAGAAGGACATGTTGATGGGTGCTCACTAAACACCCAGATCGATGTCAGAAAGTGTCCTTTAAATAGCGCGGGGCCGTTGTAACTTTTGCACTCGCACGCACTTGCTTGTTGCGCTGAAGCTGTTGTGCTCCTTGTCGGTGATTTCTTATTCTGGCACCAGGCACTGGAGTGGCAACGGTAGTTAGATATAACAGCTCTAAAGCATGAAAAATCAGTCATCGAACCCGATTAAAGACAACATGGAGGTGGGGGCGAGCGCGCTCACACACAGGTTCGTCGTCCAAATCTTTCTGCACTGGAGCGGGACGTTTAATTTCTATTCCTGACCTTGTCCATTGATTCTAAACAGCCTAGAATTTTTTCCATACTGTCCCTGGGATTCCTGAAAGAGTATTACTGTGCTGCTGTCAGGCTACTGATACAAGTCTGTGCTAAACAAGGGAATGGATGCTTGTTCCTAATTCACCTGGAAAACTGTTCCAATCTGCTGTTAGTCGCATCACCAGTCACTCAAGAAAACCTTGTCTACCGTATGTCCTTGTTTCAGAAGAAACCTGTTGTACTTTTGGTTTTTGGACCCTTGTCCGATTGCTACCCCACACTGTGAGTAACAAAGCCTCATTTTCAACTTACATGAGGGGTTCCATGGTGGAGTTTTGAGCGTTAATCTTCTTCTTGGTAGCAGAGAGTTCTTTTAGCATTTCCTTGTGACACTATTTTAAACTTGTCACAAAAACTCATCTCCAGAAGAGGAAAACTTGGCTTTAGTTGACTTCATTTAAAAAAATATCACCGTCTGCGGTGAAGCAAGCCATCAACAACGCATAAGGAAGAGACAGGTTAAAAAAACAAGGACAACTTTGCACAGTGCCGTGTAAATTGCTAACTACCTCCAACGATGCTTTTTCCGACGATGGGGACATTCGGTTGACTGCAGCTCTGACTTCATCCAGCTCCGGCTCTCTTGATTCCAACTCTTTTTCCAAACGCCGATAAAAGTCCTCAAAGTCCGCCACGTGTTCTGTGGTTGTGCCCATACACGCATGCTCGACCAAAGCGCGCTCGATACGTTGATTTAACCATTCGGATAACTGCAAGGTAAATGTGAAGGAATTGGTATAAATCAGCGGTGACTACGTTGTCTGGTAAATTCAACTACCCCACTTTGGATTCTGTGAAATTAGGTGACTTGTCTTGTCGTGTAATCTTGTCGATTTAGAGATAAGACATACCAGTTAGCAACAAACTAAAGTGTGGTTTTCAAATTTACTTTGAGATATGATCATCATCAACAACACATTTTCTTTGTTCCACTCTAATGTTTCCCCGTCGTAAGAGATGACGTCGTAAACTAAGCTCCCAAGGAGACGAAAATAACTTTCTATTGCCATATGCAACATGTGTGCTCCATTGGTGCTTGGTATAACTGAAGTACACACAAGCGCCCGTCTAACAATAAGTGGAAACTGAATGAGTTTCTGAATGTTTGATCTTTTCTGCAAACTTCGACTTACCATTTCTATTCTCGTATATACTTCTTGTCGCTTCTGTGCTTTCATGCTTCGTTCCTGATAGGCGGAAAAGAGCAAGCGACATCGTGCAATTCCGTCTTCAATCTCTTTAAGTTTGTTAGTCGCTGCATTGATGGGGACGGATGAAACGCCATGATCCAATGCAACAACGGAGGGTGTCACACCTATCTGTGTTCTGAGTGAGGATTGTGCGAAGCTGTCATCTTGAATTGAACGTAGATCACTCAAGGTTTGACGCAGTCCGGGGACTCGAACCTCCAAATCGTTCAGACGCTCGAAGAACGAGTCTTCGAGACCACTGGGTGGATATTCATGCGTCTGTTTCATATCAGCTTCCAGCTGGTAGATTTGCTTGAGCAACTTGAAGTTTTAAAGGGATTAAATATGAGGAAGGTTACCGAGATTGGGTGCGATTGGAGACTCCATGAAACCATGTAATGGAAACATTTTCAGTTTTTTTTCATAAGGGAAAGTACTCACAAGGTTGCTGAAAACTTTTCGACAGCCCACGACCGGTTTCGCCCTTCTTAGGGCTCATCAGGTTGGCGCAGTCCCCGAGTTTCTGTCATCCTTATGTTCTACTTGAATCCGAATCGGGCTGATTGCAACAAATATACTTAGTTGCAAATCAATTTGGTGTTCACGGGAGACTCACCTGAATCTTTCGTTTATGATGTTCAGGTTCTCCCAGTATGTTGAACTATGACTTCAACTGTGACCTTAATGGTAGAATACTGAGGGGTTCAAATAACACTGTCCTTCCGCCACTTCAATTCTTTTCAAAGGTGTTTCGTCTCGTATATTATGAGAAGGCTCATACAGACAAAGCAGCTTGCTTCCTTCTTGGTCCACATTCACTTTTAACCGCTTTGCTTGACCTATTTCAGTAGTTGGTTCCACTTGCCAAAATTTTGCAAGCGTAGGCACTCACCACTTACCAGATTTTTGTTCACATTGGTGCCTGTGCCAATCATCCTCTTAGACAGCATCGTTTCTGTCGGCCCGTGATCTTCCTATGCAGTTCACAAGACCTCCCGCTTGCACTGAATCACTGATATCTAAGTTTCTGGCATAGAGAGGATTTACTGGTAAAAACCGGGAGATTTAGGAATTCGATTCTGTCTTTGCACTGTTTTATAGACTGTGATCCCTAGAATGGAAAGGCTATCTTATGAACTGTTCAGAACGCCAGTTTTTGGTCGCATTGAAAAAACTAATGTTTATGGGAGTGTAGGTATTTAGTCTGTGTAAATTTAGTTGCTGGATGCGGTGTTCTGTATACACGGTTGTATCGAGATGAGTAAAAATACTTTCGCAAAGGTTAAATGTAAAACCACAGTTAGTGTACTTACAACATTGCATTCGCTGTAGTAAATAACACCGGTATGAAGTTGACGCCGCCTGTGTTCGATGCGATCCAGAAACTCCCAAATATAGGCTTCTGTGGTACGCATCCGACTGGATAGCTGTGCGTATGCTCCATGCGTCTCTTTCCAAGTCACTTCATTGTCCATGTGTGCGTCATCTAATTCTTCCTCACGTTCCAACAGACCGTACTGTGTGTAGGCCTGGCGCAATTCTGTTTCCAGTTGCTGTTGTTCAGTTTCCAAAGTTTCAAATACAGTGCGCAGCGGAGCGGTCGGTCTCTGCTGTGTGCTGGAAGCTTGTTGGAGATGTCGCATCAAACGAGTGTGCATGTTTTGCATTTCTTGTACCTCCTCAATCAAAGCCATCAAATTTTCTAGATGTGACTGACATTCGGAAAGGCTCGTACCAAGCTGATTCTCAGAAAGTCGTGGTTCTCCGACCTTCGTTGCAGATTGAGGGAATAGAAAGACAGGACGGATAAGTTCCTATAAAAACTGCCTGTATGGGTGTACGTTCAAATATTGGTTGGTTCTAAGTCTGGTGCGTTGAAATTTCATTACTTTTTAGCAATGCACTCCGCTACAAATAGCATACAGTTTCAGAAATTATCTCTCATCAATCACCATATTTTTTAAAAACATGTTTGAACATCTACTTTTGACGCTGTAGCTGTGGTAAACAGTGGCCAAAATAGGATCTCCCTTCATTCGCGGTCCTGAGTCCTGATCAGTAAACCTTACAAAGCAGAAATCCTGAAGGTTTCTGGCAAGAAATCATCGGAGTTCCGAAATTGATGGGTTATTCAGATAATATAACCAAACTCACTTTAACGAACCAATCCACGATGCGTTCAAGTTCGGCTTCCATAGATATAACTGCTAGTCTGAGCTGAAGCAGTCTGTCTCGCCTATTCCACACAAGTTCGGCGTGTCTTCTTGCAGCCCCTCCTTTAGCTGTAACAGCTGCAATGCGTTCGCGAGCTTCCACACTGGCGCGCGCAGCGACTGAGGTTGCGGAGCATGAACCGGACGGACCGGCTTGATTGGACAGTCGACCCAACAAGTCTAGTAAGGCGTTGGCCGCGTTCAGCATTCGATGTGATGGTTCAATCAGACAAGCGTTTTTGAGTGCTTCGTGTTCCTAGGTACGGTAAAGTGTATGTGAATTAGGAATGTTATTTAAAAAACGATTTGATACCATGCACAGCCTATATATATAATGAGTCCCAGCGCGACAATGATCAGACTTCAGTCCACTGATTTGATTTTTTATTACATTGAGCATCTAAAAGAAAGAATGACATGACCCTAAATTTTGACGAGCAGGTTAGCATAAATGTCAGTTGGCCAAAAATGCTTAGTTGATGCTATAATAAATCAAATTCTCATTTTATGTTCTTCAGCTTTGGACTTCACATTCTCTCTCTATACCACTTAGAGGACCGTTACAGTGCGTATGGCTGAATGACAACTTACATCAATCAAGCGTTGAACAGATGTCACATCGTGTCCCCAACCGGCGTTGTTACAAACCGTCTCTACATGTTGAGCTTGGGTTACTGCATCTTCAGCAGAGGAGTAGCATTCCACAGCCAGCTCCAGTAGATGTCCCCGTTGAGTCAAAACCCCAAGTAGGTCACGCCAAGCACGATTCAGTGATTCGGCCATGGCTGCATAGACTTGTGTCTGGCTTTCTGAGGTTTGCTGTGTGACTAGATCATCTGCTCGAGATAGCAACTGAGATATTTGATCCTGCTTTACCTGAAAAAAATATAAGGAATAGACTATCATGTAACTGTTCAATACCACTCGAAAATAAACCATGGTTTAATTGCTGTGTGATTTTTTCACGTTCAAAAGAAACATAGTCTTTCATACATGTAGGGTTCGTTTGATTCGATTAGGCAATGGAAAGTGCACTTCGTCCCGATTTGCACTCATAAGGTGAAAATAGCGAGATCGCTCACGTCTTCTCAGTGTCTCTAATAGCTTACGCTATTTACCAAGCCAAGGAATCACTCTGGTATATGGCGCACTCCGTTTAAACTGTATGGACGTATGTCATCAAAGGGAGGCTGGCGAATGGTTGGGTGAAAAAGTGACCTGGTGCTCAATTCCTGACTGCCTTCCGAATCGGAACGTTGGGGCAAAGTATCGCTTGATACAACATACAGTTTCGTAAAATGATTTATTAAGCTCGGGAAGCTTAGCAACTGTCATCACCATCATCATCATCACCATCATCATCACCATCATCATCATCATCATCATCATCATCATCATCATCATCGAAAGCATAACATCAGTGTCCAACACCGGTGCTTCACTGCCGCACAACCATGACACTAACTCAGCAACCGAGCCACGCCGATATGTCACCGTGGTTTTAGGGCCCACATGATGAGTGGTACCAAAGAATCACCGGCGTGGACAAATATATGTGAGTTTATAACCCATTGTTTATCCGGTAGTGAACCGATCCACCTCAAATAAATCATACTGGGCCAGATTGAGAACACGCTTACGGGAAACAGCGGTATGATCATGGATAACTCGGTTCCGGCCGTCGTACCTTTATTCATACAAATCTATACTAGTCCCGGTTTGTCTTCCAGTTAGTCTACCCATAAATTTAGCTAAAATTCACCCCTCGCCCTCAAGAACAGTGATTTGCGATAATCAGCTGGTTCCGGGTGGTAGATAATTCGAAGGACGAGTGGTATCAAACGTTCTGGCTGAATAACTGGAATGCGTAAGACTGTGATTGTTGAATCGCAAAAAGCCAAATTTTCGAGCTTTCTAATGAACAACTGAGTAATCAGAGCTTTTTTGAGGGTAGATACATAGCTAGTACTTACTTTTTGACTAGAGATGATAAAAAAGCCAATTGGATGACATGTGCAAAAGATCATAAGAGCGCGGTGACCAGGTCGCGCTCTCCTTCTGAGGGGCGGATAAAAGTTGCCAGACGTCGGTAGTCGAAAGCTAACTTAGTTTCATGACAACTTAAGCACACCAGACTTACCACTAGTTTCTCGCACAAGTGATTGTGAATTTCCAGTAGTCCTCTTGCCTCATCTGCGTTCGCACCAATATCGTACAGATCGGGTTCCATGCGTTGTATGCGCACCCTGATCCAGTTGCCGCACTGCAAAATGAAAGCAAATTAGTGAACCGTCAACCAGAGTTTGTCTAATCTGGGTAAATTAAGTTGTGGTCATATCAGAACTAAGATACAAAACCAAAAGTAAAGCCAGAAAAGTGGTTGGTGAAGTTATGCGACGTTTGCACCACAATATTGTCAAACAATTCGAGGTCCATACCAAAATATTATTTTTTATTTGTGAGCATACTGTGCTCAAGTGCTTACGAATTTTCATTTGGAGAAAGAACAGCACTCCTCGGACACGTCGGTCCTCAAGAACAGAATGACTTTTCGATGAGATAATTTACCAGCTTGAGACTGTCTCGAGTGGGAGTGTCCGCCCGCAATCGAAGGGCGGAGCCTTTCTGGATCCCTAAATGCTTAAGTTTTTCCCCAGGGTGTGAACCACTTAAACGATCGTTGTCGTAAGCAATGATGGTTCATCATGGCACCATATTTTCTTGACGCGACTTGGCCGTATTCAGTTTACCGTTTAGCCAAAAAATATTCGCACAGCTCACCTAAGTGGAATGTACCATAAGTGGAATGCCGATTCTATTAAAAAACTGAACTCTGAGCTGAAGCCACGTGTTAACTCCAAGCTTATAGAGTTCCGGATAACCAAAATCCCTTTCGTCACTATAGCAGAAAGTATGTTTTTGGAGAATAGTCGCGTCCTTTTGTTCCTTGGTCATTTCTAATAATAGACGAGACAAAGGATGATGACTACTAACTAGGCCCACCACGATGTACTACAGTGTTTCTGTCATGGACATGCAGAAGCATTGGCGGATCCATTCAAGTTAAAGCGAAATGTCCCATGATGTTATATGCTTATTCGGGGGACATTTAGGATGCCTCTGATAGTGGTCCTATAAGGTGTGGTACCCTATTTGATGTGTTCGGTTGGATTTTGTGCAAATCATTCACCACTATCGGTGCGATTTGTTTTTCATACTTCACTTTTGGTGACCCAAATAAGCCCTCAAGTTGTGGCCTGGCAAGGTCGACTGCTGCGAGGCCGAACTCTGTAAAACATTATGGGAGAGCTGTTAATGGAGTAACCCGAATTCAGATTACGAATTCGTTGGCCATCTGGCTCTTCACGTTTCCTCTGTCAAAGTAATAGCATGCAACCATGTACATTAGGAAACATGCGGTAGTTTGCTCTTTTTTGTATCACGTGTCTAAATTTAGTGCTGCAATGTATTGCAATCCAAATGACTGCATCTTTGTTATATTTTTTTAACTACTCGTTGGGTTTGGATGGAATTCTGTGTGGAAGAAGAAGTGTCACAGATTTTTTTCTTACCACACCAGGAGGAGTGTCCGATAATGAAACGTCATCTGCATTGGTGTAATGTCTGTGTGGTAGCTCCACAATCACCAATGCACCGTTACGCTCTGCTTCACTCTCCAACAACGCACTGGTAAAGTCTCCTCGATTGGTGATGAAGCATTTACGACCAGATTGCCCAGCTCAACCAACAATCTGATCTTTTAACATACTCCTCAAGATAATTACTTTCTAACTGTTCTGGATCCGAATCCGTTGACAGAAGATGGCTACTCTTATTTGAGTTAGGGAGAAACCCACGTGTTACCGTGCACCACTATAACAGAGAGAAGGTGATGCAAAGGAGGAGAATCGACATCACTTTAAATCTTTACTCTGTTGTTACCTGAATTGCTTGCTAGTACTGAATGTTAAGTCCTCTCTATTATTCATTCTTTCTTCAATGACTGCTTGAAATCAAACATAACGTAGCCCAATTTCCTGGTGCCCGAATAAATAGTTCTCAACCCAAAGCACAGCCATGAAAATGCAGAAACGAATGTTGTAGCTAGGCATACGAAATCCGACCATTTGACATCCAAATGAATTATGTTTGGAGAAAGTTACTTTCTCGGCATCTTTAAACTAGGATGGCAAAGTACATACTGTGGCAATTAACCCATATCTATTGGGTCACCCTCAGAAAAACTTGACAGAGAAGGGTCGAGAAATAACCGGTCTGACTATGTAGCTGGACCTCTTAGTTCGGAATGCAACTCATTAGGGTGACAGGGTAGAACCATATATGAATTCTACTCCTAACAATGGCCACTTTGTGGAACTGATCTTGTTGCTGTGTGCACGACGTTTGCTTTGGTATTTTCTAATCTATCAAACTGGTCATTTCTGCATAAGTTTCCAAAGAAAGAAAGCGCTATTATGCATCGCTTGTGTAAGTGAACATTCTGTACATAAAGAAGGTAACACTCAGAATTCCCCGTGCATCATTGCAAGAAACATGTTCACGTGAAGTAAATGAGCTAATTAGAATAGATGGAGACGAAAACACGTGGCAGAGGAAAAGTAGGGCGCTTAAATAGTACAGAGATATGCATTAGGCCAACGGTGAATAATCAACTCCTCGTGCACAACTGACTACTAAGAAAGACCCACAAATTGACGCTAGAGTAAGGACCATGGTAGACGACAGATGGTCAAATAAAAAGGTTTCAATAATTAGCCCATGAGTAACGCTCGTTTAGGATTCAGTCAGTTGAACGAAAATTTGCATATGCTTTGCTTAACCGAATTACAAAACTTATGCGGGATAAATAACTGCTTCCGCTGAGACTTCAGTAACCGGCTTTCCCTTACCCGCGATGTTATCTGTTAGTTCACATCAGTTTTAAAATATTGAAAAATTTCCTGCGATGGATTCACAACAGCCATCACATTTCTGAAGACGATAACATAGTCTGCGCGCTTATCGTAGCAAGCAGTTCTTAAAATTATGGAAGTAACCATCATGTGCGCTTGTATTCCATTAACCTCGTTGTGATCTGCTATCCCCTTTAGGAAGCAACGAGCATAATGTCAACGCGGACATCCTCTCCGCTCACGAAATCGTGAATTCTCACCCGTCCTTCCGGGACCGGTGCTTGTGGTTACCAATATAAGTCAGTAAATATAGTGGGAATCGCACAACAAATAGTTTTCCATACTCATGCAAGGACAGTGACGATAAAATGACGATGTTCCGCGCCTTTTGCAAGAAGTTGAGGCGAAGCACATGTCTTCAGGTGAAAGCATAGGGAGCTACGCCAAGCTATCTCACATCTCACTTTTCGAATAATTCAATGGCATTCCAAGTTGGGGCATCAGTTAGTAAGTAACTGGTGCTATGTGAACCGTAATGCTCTTTTGAAATAATGCTGCTCGGTGCAAATTACGGAGAACTAAGTTGTTATATAACAAGATATCTCAAAACACGAACGGCAATGATCATTTCGGGCTATTTGTCCCTCCACGAGTAAGTCGCTGTGAAATTGCTTTTACTGTTATTTTCCAGAAGCTATAATTCTGATCCGACTACTAGCTCTATCCTAGTTCGCTGGATTTGGAATTCAGTCGAAGTTTGTGGGGACAGATGTGGCCAGACATCGAGAAAGCTTAATTAAATCGTCCTAATGAAGGCTCCTAGAGATGGTTTCTTCGGTGTCAGGTAAATCCATAGACCAAACTAAATAAGTACAGCTTTAACTTGCGCTTCCAACATTCTACTTCTCATGCACGGACATACCAAGCCAAAGTAGATTCACAGAGCACTTCCAACTGGGCTATAGCCTAAAGATCACGTGGTGTTGTGAATCCTATAGCAGTAAGAATCGATCAAGGGATAATTAGAGGACGAGAGAAAAAATCGCGCAAGTAAAACGTCAAGGAAAGAAATTCACATGACTGGATAGCCAAAGCTACCGAAAATAGAGTCACAGTGTACCATTACTGATTTTTTCTGTCCATTACCCTGTTCGCCCGTAAATAATGTCCGTTTCGCATATCAAATTTAACAAAGTCACCAGCTTTCTCCTAAGTGCACATTTTACTACATTTAACCGAAACCTCACAGGCGTTCATATAAATGGTCCAACACGTTACCGTCGGGCCTTTCCATGCAAGTTTACCGAATGCTGATTATTGTGACAACGTAATTCGTACCAAGCCAAGCACATTATAGTATCAGATAGGCAGGTGAACTTCGAAAAGAGGGACTGTCACGTGTTTTTATTGGGGAGGGGTGTCTAGTATCAGAGGGACTGTTAGTCTACCGAAGTGGCATAAAATTTAAGTTAGGCCTGAGATAGCTGCAGTGTGTCTGTTCTTCCCCTCTCGTCTTATTAGTTGGTAGTGGCGCATTCCATCCGAGGGACGTGACAGTGTAGCTTGTAGTGGTCACTGATCTATACACGAAATTGCAGGCTTGTCACTATTGACCTGTCCTAGTCTGCCAGTCGCCCTCAGCTAGAGGTTTCCGTCTGATTAGGTGTCCGTTCTCTCTCTATGTGTGTGCATATTCTGTGACATTGACAAACACAAACCAACAACGACGGTCTCGTTTTATGTAGTATTGCTTCATCAGATCCTGGTTTTCCAAGCTGAAAGAAGAACAACGAGCTAAATTCAGTCATGCTCTCTAAAGCTCATCATATCTAACCGAAAACTGTACAATGTCAACGCTTCTTTCCGTCTAACTTTATTTCTTGTGGCCTTATTTACGCATGATTTTGGAACAGCGGTTTCCATTTTAGGGATCCTAATACACCGTACGGGGATATTTACCAGCTGTCACAGCAAACCCCCCTAATTGAAAGATGAATTTAACTCGTCGAGATAGAAGCGTAGACGGTAGTGGACGATAGAGAGTATGAGATATCACTGGTTCGAATCCCTGGAAAGATCCGTAAGATGTGCACTGCCGGTGATTCTCATAATAGCGGAAAGAAAGAAATTCCAACTAAAATTTCAAAATCTTCTCACTTCCTACAAACAAAGGGATTTTACAAACTTCCACAAAAATGTCAGTATTGTGGTTTAATGGCTATAAGGAGAGGAGCTGTTGAAATCTTTCAGATAGTGTACTAAGTCTTAGGAAAGGCGGCTTCATTGCGGAAAAAGGCTGCAACAAACATTTGCTGGTCTTATGAAATGGTTCGTTAGATCACAATATATT